ACCTAACAACCTACTCACCTAACAACCTACTCACCTAACAACCTAACAACCTACTCACCTAACAACCTACCAACCTACTCACCTAACAACCTACTCACCTACCAACCTACTCACCTAACAACCTACTCACCTAACAACCTACCAACCTACTCACCAACCTACTGGTGCCAACCTACTCACTTACTCACTAGTTAACCTATTCAACCTGTTCACCATCCTAACAACCTAATACTGAATTTTGATGACGATGAATTAATATCAAACAAATATAATTGGTTGAAACAAGTTGATTTGTGTTTTATACTGTAAATTGTTGTCTTAACTTTGTGGATGATTTTTAGGAACTATTTAGAATGGATGATAGACTTGCCATGGAGCAAAGAAACAAAGGACAATTTAGACATTGCCAAGGCTAGGTAAGAACATAATTGATCAGTGATTATGAAATATTTTGTTATAGCACAAGTGATTTTGTTTTAGACATGATTTGGATCAGGACCACTATGGCTTAGAGAAATTAAAGAAAAGAGTCATTGAATATCTTGCTGTGAGAAAACTAAAAAACAGCTTGAAAGGTAAGAATTGTTGTAACTTGTTGACTGTCCATAGGATCAATACCAAGTCACATGTCACATGATTAAAACAGTAATTTATGCACTATGGAAAAATTCTGGAATTCAAAATAAAATTTCAAGCAAGAAAAAAATAACTTTCAGGAGTTTTCAATGTCTTTCGGTGATTATTTTTCCCATATACAAGAATGCAATTATGTCGTTGTTTTAAGCTGTGTTGTTTTATTTCTAGGTCCCATTTTGTGTTTTGTTGGTCCTCCTGGTGTTGGTAAAACAAGTGTTGGTAGATCCATTGCTAACACTCTTGGCAGGGAGTTTCACAGGATCTCACTGGGTGGAATACATGATCAGTCTGATATTAGAGGACACAGGTTTGTTGACAATTGTTTTAGAGTCGTACCTAGTTGTCTTTTACTCTCTACCAGCCAGCTTCGAAAATCTAGTGATTGGCTCCCTGTGTGAAAGCTATTGGGCTTCCTTTTTTAGCGGAGGTTGTATTTGCACTTTGTTTGCTTGAAAGGGACTAAAAGTGATTAGAAAGTTGCTTTAGCAGCATTGTGGCTGATAAATTTCAGTTTTATCGCTTTTGCTTGAGATGGGTTTCACTGCATTCTTTTTAGCATATTAAATGGATGGCGCTGTTGATAAAACGTAAGTCTCTTTGCCACTGGAGGAATTGGACACTTGACCCAGCTAAAAATGCATATTACAATGAACTTCTCTCTTCCCGTCAATTATAGTAAACTACTTTTTAGTTATCAGGAAGTCCCTTCAATGGTCTTGTAATCATTTACTATTATCTCATTAATTGCATTGTTTCTTGCTGTTGTAGGAGGACATATGTAGGATCAATGTTATCTCATTAATTGCATTGTTTCTTGCTGTTGTAGGAGGACATATGTAGGATCAATGCCTGGTAGAATTCTTACAGCTTTGAAAACTGTTGGTGTCAAAAATCCTGTCATTCTATTGGATGAAATTGATAAATTGGTACTGCTAAACTATTCACATGATGCCACACCACATCACACCACACCACACTACAGGATACTACACTACAAAACAACACACCACACTGCAGAAAACCACACTACTCCAAACCACACTACACCAAACCACACTACAAGACACCATACCACACTACAAGACACCATACCACACTACACCA